GACGTGGCACTGGAACAATTTCAAACAAGTTGGCACGACGCACAATTTCATTCACATAGTCAGTGTTGCGAGGACGCATGATTGAAGTCTTTGGGAGCAGGGACCATGGCTCTCGTTCAAAAGAGAAGAGAGGTTCATTGTTGCTGTCTCGCACTCCAATACTTAGTAAGTACAGTACCTTTTTGTTGTTGCCCGACTCGATGTAGAGCTGTTGACTGAGAGAGCAGCCATCGTTGCGGTGCTGTCCTTCAGGGGGGGTTGCTTCATCGTTGTCGTGCTGAGGAGCGGCCAAGAACGTTGCGTCGTCAGCATCTGCTGATGCTGAGGAATGTTCAGAACTCATTGTCTCTCGGCACCCAGCATTCTGCTGCTATGCTAGAGTGCCACAAGTTCTGCGAAATTATGTATGCATACGAGTTGCTAATTCTCGGAAGCAGAACACTGTTCTTGCATGCGTATGCAAAGATCTTTTTGAATCAAGTTGAATCTTCCAGAATGAGTGGTCAAAACTCAAGAGGTTGAACAGGATATGAAACTTGGATTTGTTAACTTGGCTAAAAAAGTCTCGTTAACTTGGATTGCCAAGGCCGCGAAAGACGAGTCCCACTAACTCAGAAATCGAAGTTGAATCACGAACGATTTGGTTATGTGCCCTTGGAAACTTCGAAACTTGGATCGAAGTTGGTTTGTATGGACACGCCCTGAGAAGTGCGAACAACGAATACTCGGAGTACAGTACCAGGGTACTAGTACCAGGGTGGTACCACCTACAGCCTACAGCAACAAGGAATCATATGCATACTGTTCTGAGTTTTGAGTACTATACAAAGTACGCCAGACTCCAGTGGTAGACTACTGGTAGTAGATATGACATAGTACGCAGTATGCACACGCTATTCTTGCGTACTGTACAAGTCTACCAGTAGTACAGGGTACGAGTATGCCTGTATTGTACTCCATACATTGCATTCTACTAGTACTGTACCATGTGTACTTAAATTAGTACCTAGAGTACCGATACCACTCGTACTGTGTTTGGCACCGAACGCTCTTTTCCGAGTGGATTAAGCAACATTGTGCAAATGGAGTACTAACGAGGAATTACCATGAGGCATGAGGTCACCTTGCCCCCATGGATGTGCTTAGGACAAGGATGGAATGAATGTATGAATATACTATGCACAACATGTTTGATGCTTTACCGAGAGGTGGATCTGCTAACAGATAAAGGACGCGCATCTACCTGTTTATTTCCCGTTGGCCGTGCCTCCGCTAGCGAGGTTCTATCACACAAGAGGAGAGGGGATGTCTCTCCTCGTCGTCGAGTTCATTTTGAATATTAAAAAAGGGAAATGAGATCGAGGGCACATCGATTGAAGGGTGTTGGCAGCTGCAGTTTTATCCTCCGAGTGGAGTTTACCTAGTACGTATCCCTAGGAACAAAACGAATAACACAGCGCTATTGTAGTATTGAGCTTTTCGACTTAATGAATTTCTTCCCTTGACTCCAAGCGATCTACGCCAAACATCCTTCGGCCTTACGAAACCTTGGCGTAATCAGTTCAATGATGATCAAGGGACTCGGCCGTCTTGGCAAGTTCCAAATTCTTCTTGTATTGTTCGTTGATTGCTTTCACTCTGACGTACTCCTTCTTGTGATGAAGGCATTCCAGGTAGTCCAGTTTCTCGGGGATACAGACAGAAACAGTATCATTTTCACGGTTTTGCTGCGGAAGCATGAAGGTGATGCGGTCAGTGTCAGCACGGCAGAGTTTGCATTATCGTCTCACTCCTGCACTCACCAAGCAATCCTTGAAGTCAGAAAAGTATGGGTAGCACCGTCCAAGCTTCCCCTTGATACCCCAGCCGCTCGACATGATGACTTTCTGGTAACAAAGCGAATACAGACGAACGACGGCGTCTGCTGAAAGGAATACCGCAACGCCTTCATCGCCGACAGCGTACTCCGTGTACATGGCAACGTCTGGCTGTCTGACGTGTGGATTCAGAAATTGACTCGACTAAAAACAAAAATGCAGGAATCAACACTGTATTCTGTATTCCGTATTCCCAATTCCGTGTATGCGTACTCCAGTACTGGTACTGAGAATTCTACTATGATACCGGTACTGGTAGTGATTGCATGTTGGCGGTGTTGGCACAGGCAAAAGGCATCCTCTGAAATTGCTGGTACCGGTACGACCGTAAGGTCTACTAGAGATCAAGGATTACTGTTCCAGTGTTCCAGTGTTCCAGTGTTCCAGTGTTCCAGTGTTCCAGTGTTCCAGTGTTCCAGTGTTCCAGTGTTCCAGTGTTCCAGTGTTCCAGTGTTCCAGTGTTCCAGTGTTCCAGTGTTCCAGTGTTCCAGTGTTCCAGTGTTCCAGTGTTCCAGTGTTCCAGTGTTCCAGTGTTCCAGTGTTCCAGTGTTCCAGTGTTCCAGTGTTCCAGTGTTCCAGTGTGCCAGTGTGCCAGTGTGCCAGTGTGCCAGTGTGCCAGTGTGCCAGTGTGCCAGTGTTCCAGTGTTCCAGTGTTCCAGTGTTCCAGTGTTCCAGTGGTCCAGTGGTCCAGTGGTCCAGTGGTCCAGTGGTCCAGTGGTCCAGTGGTCCAGTGGTCCAGTGGTCCAGTGGTCCAGTGGTCAAGTGGTCAAGTGGTCAAGTGGTCAAGTGGTCAAGTGGTCAAGTGGTCAAGTGGTCAAGTGGTCCAGTGGTCCAGTGGTCCAGTGGTCCAGTGGTCCAGTGATTCAGTGATTCAGTGATTCAGTGATTCAGTGATTCAGTGATTCAGTGCTGGTCCAGAGGTCCAGTTGTCCAGTTGTCCAGTTGTCCAGTTGTCTTGACCAGTTGACCAGTTGGCCAGTTGGCCAGTCGGCCAGTCGGCCAGTCGGCCAGTCGGCCTGATGCCCTGATGCCCTGATGCCCTGATGCCCTGATGCCCTGATGCCCTGATGCCCTGATGCCCTGATGCCCTGATGCCCTGATGCCCTGACGCCCTGACGCCCTGACGCCCAGTTGCCCAGTTGCCCAGTTGCCCAGTTGCCCAGTTGCCCAGTTGCCCAGTTGCCCAGTTGCCCAGTTGCCCAGTTGCCCAGTTGTCAACTTGTCCGGCTGTCCGGTTGCCCAGTTGTTTGGGGTTTTTGTGGCGCCAGTGGTTTACGTCGTAGTTGTGTATGATTGCTTTTCAGTGTTTGAGTGCTTTATCGGTATCTCTGCACAATGCTGCTATTGCGCAATCTGTATCGCTCTCCAATCGAACACAGATTAAATTCCACGTTCTCGTTAGGCAAGCAGAAGTACGAACCGTTGAACCAGGAGTATGGAGCAACCCAACATTAGATGAGATTAGCCGTGTCATTACTAGAGTATGCAGCATTTAATTCAGGATCGTTCACCCCCGGTCAAGGACGGTTATCTCCGCTACCCTGCATCTTGGACCGAGAGAGTCACAGCCTTGGCATGAACACCAAGGGCTAAAGAGTTACGCAGCGGGTGTTTAGATTAACTTCTGCAGACCTCCAAAAGATTATTGTACCCCGAAGAGAACTTCAATTCAACCGGGTTCTAGTAAACTATGTTTGAGACTACTGTGAACGAGAGGGCAATGGCGAGGAGGTCTGACTCTCACATGAATGCACCTTTAGAGTTCCTAATCGATCTTCTTGGCAACGGCTGCTGCCGAATGGACCAAGCAACCTGTCACAAGGCTGACGGTAACGAACACCCCACCAACAATGCTTATCAAAGAACTTAGAAAGATCAGGAAGCTGTCTCGCGCTTCCACGTGATGAACTGCGAGAGGGGTGAAGTCGTACGATACGGCCAGACCAGGCAAAAAACGACTTCCCTGACTCGCCAACGTTTCGGGTTGAATAATGTGCTCTGTAACCGATAGCTGATATTGGTTGCGTGTGCTCAGGAAACCTTGATATTGCGTGGGGATTACTTTGACCTGAACGTCTGTCACACCAATACCACCGGCGTCGTTCCGAACGACATTAATATCGTTTTGTAGCGGGTTCTTCATCAAGGCGAATGGCTCGCCAAAATGAATGTGATGAATGAAGTGACTGATTATTGGAAGAAAGCGAATTAGGAAATTCCGTGGTCTCGCGATGGGAGTATGTATCATCATTTTCCAAAATGCAACACTTACGTTGTATTGAACATGCTGCCCGTCGTCTCTTGATTCCGTACATTAAACATTTGCATGCCCATCATGAGGAAGGCGGACGCTTCCCGCCACGCCGCGGTACTCAGTCCCAGCGTGAAGGCTCCGCCGACTCGAGAAACAAAATAGTGCCCCTCGAATGTGCATCCTTGATGCAAATCTGAATGTGACGGCAATGAGACGGACCCAGTAGCCTTTTGCCATTCATATGCCAAGAGGGGGCGCGTGCTTATTCTCGACGAAATGCCATGCATCTGTCGAAACTTGGGATCCTTGTAGGACATGCCGTCGTGGCTGAAATCCATTCGTGAGCAGGTAATATGCGGAAATGAAATGTGGAAATCAACGTTGATTCGACCTCTTTCAGCATAATCAACAGCATCGAGTGGCTGAACAGGATGCCACTGCGATCTAGAGAGATGAAGAGAGTGTCTAGTGACTCCAGTCACATAAACGTAAAGTTGACCAAAAAAAAGAAGACCTGCAGCGATCGAGGCAACCAACGTTATGATTCCTCCCAGGATTGATTGTTGCCTCAAATCCTCTCTTGGTTTCGCGAAGGCATCAAGCCGCTTCCACATGTTCGACAGGATGGCAAGGAGGCAGACGTGATGGACGATCCGGATGTGAGTAGTCGCCTATCGCAGGCGGTGGCAATGTTGCTGCGACTCCGATCTCCGATGTCGAATGTACGTACAGTAGAAAAAGTCAGTACAGTAGAATTCAAGCCTCAAACGACGCGTACAGTACTCGAGTACATGTATGTCATCTCCTTTGGGTGTAAGAATTTGAGCAGACATTGTGTTGTTTATTGTCCGCTTCAGTGTGTATGATACGGTTCTGTGGTGTAGGTGGTTAGCATTCAGGGTTCTGATTCCTGCGACGGGGGTTCGAGTCCCCCCAGAACCTTTTTGCAGATCAAACCTGGATCATCTTTCTTTATCTGAACACGACGTTTGGTTAAGGGCGAATCCTTATGAAGTCTTAGCTGCCGCTCAACCCCTCGCTCACAAGGTGATCATGAGGAAGGCATAGAATTTTTTTGCATTTCTTCATAACTGGCTCGTGAGAACATCCTGCTTTCGAACTCGTTCGCATTTTGCGTTGTACCCTCCTTGTAGGTCCACTGCCTCAGAGCATCGTTTGCTCACCATAGTTTTTTGTAGTCTACCGACTTCTTGGATGATAAACTCCTCTGAGTCGCTTAAATAATGTAGCATAAAAGCAAGTAATTGATAGAGTGCAGGCAACAAATGTCACACAAACAACCAACACCCTACAATGTGTGGTGTTATGAAATACACCAGTACTCCAGTACTACGTATCATACAATTCTTCCTATGCAAACAAGCTACAGTACTGTGAAAACAGGGCGATCGATTTCTTTTTTCATTAAAAAAGTAAGGAGAAAGGGAGAGTCATACATACTGTAGAACAGTATAACTCATACGCTCATACGCTGTCACGCTTGGAAGTCGCAGATCGTGCGAAAATTCTGTCCGTATTCGAAATAATGGCAGCAGAAGTACGGCAATAGAGATTACGATTGCAACTGCCAATAATCAAGGACACGACGACACATATTCCATTGAAGCCAAAGCAAGCTTTTCGCCATTCTGCATTGAATCTTCGATCTGTTCTTTGCTTTTTTGTTATCTAGCGTTTCGTTGACTAGCGGGAGAGCAAGACCATGTCAGAGCTTGTTAATCCCTTCGCGTTGGTCGTCAAGCTTGGTGGAATTGTGGCAAAACCGATCATTAAGCTGAGCCAAGGGATTGGACAGGGTATCGGTGAGATTTTCAACCTTCAGGATGATGATAATCATCATGGAGATGAGCATGATGGAGATGAGCATGATGAAGTAGCCGCTCCAGAAGAAGACTGTCGTATGAGTCTGGAGGGAACGTTGTGGTGTCGGAAGGGAAAGACGAAAAGTTGGAAGCGCCGCCTGGTTGTTCTAAAATTGGAACAGGAGGGGATCTTTGAATGCTACAAAGTCTTAAATTATGGTCGATCAAGAATGTTGAAAGATGTATACAGTCAACTTCATCGCCAAGCGAGTGTGGGCAGCATCATTCGCGACTCGGGATCCCAAACGTTGCAACTTCTCCTAGGAAGAGACACACCATGGATCGCACGAGATATTCCTAACGATCCCTCGACATTCGTGATTGAAATACCGACCGATAATCTTCAGGTCCTTAACAGCCTCATTTTCGAAGGCAGTCAGCAAGCCTTCCTAGGCTCGATACAAACAGAATCCTTTGATGAGGGACCCGACGGGGACATCACCACCGGAGATGATCAAGCAACGCAGTCCGCGCAAATGGACGCTTCGCTACTAGATATTAGCGATCGCCCAAACATGACGCTGTCCTCGAGAACGAAGCTGGAAAGAGACTTCAAATCGGCGCAGAAAAAACAAGTGCCCTTAAGATTATATTTCAACTGTCCTCGAAGTGGCAATGAGAAGGCTCTCTGGCTCCGAGGATTTGCGAAGGTTGATCGCCTTGGGGAACCTTGGGACAAAAGGAATTTCTTCGGTAAGATCGCACAGATTGGCATGGCGACGTCAAGAATAAGGAGGGACGTGTTTGCAGATTTCACTCGGGATGCACGACAGCTAGAGATAGGTGTCCTGAGCCCATCCTACAAGCCATTGAAGAATCCGACAATGCCGAACATCGAGGAACACATCGAACGAAGAGAATTCATGGTATACCCAACGTATTGCTATCCTCACGTATGGATGACTCAAAGTGAGCTGCTGGAAGAGTGCAATCTACCGTCGACAACTATGCACGACCTTCGCATAGATAGCATGATGGGCAAAGAGATCGGCACCCTGCGAGTTGAAGTTCTTCAATGTTTCGGGTTGCCAAAACTCGACCGAAACAGTGAAAGCGATGCTGTGTGCTACTTAGTTTGTGGATCGTATGCATTTGCGACAGATGTGATCCCCAACAACGCACATCCCATATGGCCACGGAAATCTCGTCGAGGCTGTCTCTTTCCTGTTTTTCACGGGTATGCTCGTCTCTTTGTAGGTGTCTTTGACGACGATGTTGGACCCCGAGATGACGTAGCCGGCCGAGTAGTGATTGATTTGTCGAGGTTGCGCCCGACTTCGAGGTACGACGTCACGATTCCATTACGAACGTCTGCCCAGGTCTACTCACGACGACCTCGGGGTTCTATTCGACTTCGATTTCAGCTGGATTGGAAAAGTGAAAGAGCCGCTTTGGTTTCGTACTTACCGACTTCACTAAAAATTCCGAAAAAGACTGCGCCAGATACGAGTACCACTGTTATGTGTGTTGATCCCACAGCGTTTCGGAACATTGCAATCACAGTACACGGAGCTCACCTCCCGGGGAAGTTTTCTTACAAACATTTCCGGGCGACAATGAAAGAGGTCACTCTCTCTAGAAAAATGATGATGGAGATTGCGCGATCTACTGTCAAAGAGACCATGATCTGGGTGCACCCAGCAATTTCCCTCTTCGTGTACTGCGCCTGGATGCATTGTGTTTGGAGCAATTCTTTCGGTCTCGTGCCAGCATACTTGATGAGTTTTTCTTGTTGCATCTTCTCAGAAACTATGTTCGATATGGTATTGACGGACCTGGGTGCAGAGGATTTGTTCCGCCGACCTGGGAAGAGATGTTGCGGGCAGTTGTAACGGATCAAAAGCATTCTATCAGGCCTATCAGTATGACTCTTACTGATGACGCAGGCGCCCATCGGAACCCGCTGCTTGCTGATGGCGACGACCCCGTTTATGATGTCAACCGCGTTGAAACTCATGTTCCATGGGGGAAACAGTTATTCCGATTTATTGGTTTTCTCGAAGAAGACAGGGTCCTTGCAAGGATACCCCAGCATGAACGTCACTTGGAGTTTCCTTTCTCTAATGGGACTGTTTACCCACCGCTCAGCGTGAGGGAATCGATGGCAAAGAAACCTCACAAATCAAGAGAGAATGATGAATTTCGACCTATCAGGTCGCTTTGTAGGGATCGACTGTCTCGTGTCCACAAGGACAGAGGGGAATATGACTCACTCGAATTCGACGGCGACACAGCTGAAACGGATGATGATGACATCCTGTTAGACACGGAAATCTCGCGCAGCGTTGACGAGAACCTGGACAACAGCACGGAATTAGACCCTGCCGCTCCACTGCCTTCGACAATCCTGATTCCTGACCAGGATATTGATTTCGTTCATGACAGTGGCGGCAAAAAATTTACGGATGATCTTGAGGATATGAGAGAAAACATGCATCGCTTGACTTGGCATGTCTTCAACTACAAGACACATATAGTCAAGCACCCCGAATCCGTGTTCTTTGGGCAAGGGAAAAAAGCAGCGAGGGGGAAAGATACGAAGCGTGAAATTGAAAAGCTTCTCAATTTAGGTAGCTATTCGTCGAGCAACATGATCGTCTCAAGAGCTGCTCCATACGTCGCTCCGCTACTGGGCGCTGCACTCAGCTTCTTGGGTGTCTTTCGAACCGCGTTCAATGTGTTCACTTGGCGCGATCCCTTTATGTCATTCTGGGTATCTGTGTTTGGTCTCCTTGTGACCATCATTTTGTTCTACTTTCCTTGGCGCCTTTTTTTACTGGTCACCGGCTGTATTGTGGTTGGGCCTCAGGTACGTGACGCGGTACGTTGCTTTCGATAGACTGGTGCTTTCGCCAACTCATCATTGTCAAAGAATTGGGTATACTTCCAAGTTTACCGAAAGCGAAGGAGCGAGGAGGTCGCACCAAAAGATGAAGGCATTCATTCGGTGCCTGACAATCTTACGAACTCTCGACGCTTCAGCCGTTGGTGAAAGCGCATCCCCTTCCTAACACAAAGCATGCCGATGTTTCTATGGATCAAATTGACCCGCGTGAAGTCCACCATGTTGTAATTCCCTATTCGCAGCTGGCGTCAGCCACAAACCGATTCTATGACTGGCCACCTGAACCTGAATTTTCACACGTAAAGTACAATCCCCCCGTCACCAAGGCCAACAACATCTCTGGTCCCTCTACGGAAACGTTCAAATCGAAAACTTCTGCAGGGAATATTCCCCAGTTCGTTACAGCCAGCACGATGGCTCGTCGTTCCACCCTGCAGGCTTTCAAACCAACGCTTCAAAGATCCCGCTCCTCCGATTTCGAAATCAGGTCTGAACGGCAGCTGATTCGTCCACGATCCCGAACGGCGGACATGTGGGACATTGATGAATCAAAGTTGAAATCTGAGTAGCAGGTTACGTAACGCAATCCTACTATTCCATTTGCTACATCCTACGTGCAAGTCCGCTCTCAATTCTTTGTTCCCACTCAGTTACAATTGCAGCCGCGATATGGCGTCCCCAAAAATCATAGCCTTCGTCGTTCGGGTGAACGTTATCGGCGGCAAGCAATGTAGACCCTGGATTACGATTGGACGATGAAGCCTGGATATGATCATGACAACCTTGGTGATAGATATCCTGCGTCGATGCCTCACTTCGTTTTTCCATGTCGGTGGTTAATCGCTGATAATGCTGTCTCATGAGCGCTTCTACTCTTTCTTTGGCTTTTTTCGTTACGTCGGTCATTTCCAGGAGAACTTGTTCAGCCTTGCGAGAGTTGAAAATGGGCCCCCGGCCAGCCTCCATGTCCTCCAGCGACTCAATAGTAGGGGGCTCAACAAAGAGGACGAAATTCGGAAATGATTCAGCTAGGCGCTTCTTGTGGTCGTCAATCATTTCCAGAAGTGGCACAACAAACCACGATAGGGGAGCTTGTTGGCAAAGAGGCATGGGCGAGATTGGAAGGGCAGGAAAAACTATCAAGGGACGGCTTCGCTCCTTCAGGCAAGGATTTTCATCAGATGATTCCGGTGATCGCATCCGTTGCTTAAGAG